GAAAAGAATATATTTGGCATCCTATCCAGAAATTCCTAATTACTTAAAGAATTCCCTTACCTCGCCTGGCATTAACAACATTCTTGATAATTCTGGCCGATGGTCGGTATTATTGGGACAGGTTTCAATTCCTAAAGTTTCCAAGGCCTTGATTATTGTAATATCAACGAAACTTTATTGGCAAATTTTAATATCGGATTGGTGATATGATGGACGTCATTGTTATACAATGGACCCTTTACTGTAAAACGATTGTACATGATAGTTGTTACTACACGGAAGAATCTGATAACGCAATATTGATTGGTCAAGCTGAATCAATTTTTTACCTCTCAGATTTATATATGTAAATAATATGAACAATAAAGTTCTTTGATTTGTATATAAGTTATGTATAAAAGATAACAATAAATACATCGTCTTATCAAAAATTACTGCTAAAACAAAAAGTTCCATCCCCTTGTCATGAAACCAAAGACTCGACTCTTGTTTATCGAGTCCACCATGGGAGGTATTGGCGTCGTCGTTCTTCGAGTGGTTCATAATCCGGAGGAGCCAAAAGCCCATTCAATAATAGAACTATTCCAATCAGAACACTCAATGCAGCTGATATTATCGAAAAAATAAATGATATATCATATTTCGTCCCGTAATAGAACCGGTTGCTAGTATAAAACACGTGCGAGATCAAACCGATTGCCAAAAATTGGAAGCAGGCTGTATTTGTTGTTTTTATATTTTACACATGAGCAAAGAAATGATATCACGAAAGATATAAATCAACAATAATGATAAGGTATGCAAATACGTACCATGAAATATCATCAACATGGACAGAGAAACCCACAAGTTCTCACGACGATTTCTTCCACCTATTAACGCGACTACCAAAAAACACCATGTTATACCACCAATAAACGTCGCAAAAAGCATAGCGAATCCGGCAGCTTCCCACTGTTCACAAAAATATTTTTCATCACAGTCGCCATTGTCGCGGGACGGAAATGGATGACATTCGGTTGTTAACGCTGAACATCTCTTTAGATTTTTGAATCGAAAAATAGTTAAATGATCAAATGTTAAGATAACAGAAAAATACAAAGAAATAAAGATATATAAAAAAGATGGCTCGCTGTGTTTATTTACCTTAAATAGGCCATAATTGATTCTGAACCAAGGTTTGGCATCGAATAGTAACCTATAATAAAAGTTGATTAAAGAGCGGACTTGTCTTTATAACGCAAGATAGATAATATCAACCACTCACCAATTTGGCAAATTTATCGATAGTAATGTAAGAAAGTATGTGATGGTAAAGGCCAAAGAAACTAGTGCATATGTGGTCACTGAAGGCATATTTCTTGATTTATTACTGGAACTTGTAATTGCCAATATATAAAAATCTTGATTAGAAAATTACCTGATCACGTGATCAAATACATGTTCGCCATGCTAGAAATTGTCCGGAGTGCATAAAAGAACCTTTAATTCACGTGATATAATTATACGTTCAATAAATAACGATAATCTCCTGAACACAAGAAACCAATACACGTAAATTGATAAGCCGAAGATCTTTCAACATTCAGCTTATCAAAATTCTAAATTTCATCTAAACCGAATATTTATAGTTTTAACTTGATTTCATCCATAAAAGTTTAAAGTTTGCTGATTTTCAAAGATAATAAGCATACATAGGAAAATGGAAAGTGCCCAATTTAGAGAGTGCATGCGATATTATGTTTGAAATCTGCTAGTATCACGAGCAGGTACACATTCAACTCTACTTATTTGAACGAGTATAAACTATTAAATTATACAAGAAATAATAAGGAGTGCCATTGTCGAACTTTAGAGCTTGTCGTAAAATAAAGAAATTAATTCATCTTTATTGTAATGTGTGCTGGGCAGAGAAAGATGATCCGCAAGCCGGATCATTTTGTAAGAGTAGGAAATTAGGAACAAACTTTCGAGTATAGTCTCAAAACAATGATTGACATAACCGCTGAGTGAATTTTTCCGGTTACGCCCGTCTCTGCACTGATATATACAAATTAGTTCCTTCAAATATATACAAAATGCTAAAATACTTTTAAACTAAATCTAAAGAGAAATAGAACATTAATATCTAAATAATAAAAATTTTACGCCAGATTATTACTTACAACTTTTTTAATCCTTCGTTAAAATGTCTATTGGGGCAATAAACTATAAATCACTATATGAAAGAGAATACACTTCTTCCCATTCCGATCAACTATATATATTTTGTAGAGGTGATTCCCATCTTTCCAATCTTTTTGATATACATCTTTAGAGTAATCCTTTTTATCGATCACACATAGCATCTCTGTCGTCGTCGTCGTCGCTTGAATATTCTTGATAATATATCTCATTTTCATACAACATCGAC